GGAATACAAAGGAAAGATCATTTTGTATTTATATATACAAAATAGGATAGATATACAGCTACTTTCACTTAATTCAATGAGAAGAAAGAGATGTACTAATGGTGTTTGGACAGGATATCCTGTCTGCTTCTTGTACTATGGATAAGCACTAAAAAGATAACAATGTACAATATATTGATTATCAAAACTGCCCCATTAATCAGCTTTGAAACTATCTCATTCATATTTGTTTCTCAAGAAAATTAAAATAAAATAAATATGTTAAAAATTTTTAAAAAGTTTACCTGCAAAACCAAAAACAAACAAACAAACAAACCATGAGCTAGAAAAATAATGATAACTAGAGTAATGAAAATAAAGAAAGAAGATCCAGAGGTGGGAGGGGATGGGCAATAAGAAGAATATGTGAAATGTATGTATCTCACCCCTACAAAGAATATGAACATCCCATACTTATACAAGCATATATACTTGTACAAACACATACCAATTTAAAAAAAAAAAAAAACACATTCAGTTGACAAGTGTGACGGGGTTGGTGCAGGTGAGAGGTATTTCTGTAATGCCTGAATTTGCATTTTCTTTTTATCATGAGCATGTTTAGCTTTTGTAATGAAAAATATATGCAAGAGCAGGAAATAATAAAAACAGTGGGGAATCTTTAGTATTCCATCTCTGAAGTAAGCAATGGGCCCGCGGAAGAGAGGTCTCTTAGTGGTGGGAGCTGTGAAGACAGAGTTTCTTCGCCATCCTGGAAGTAGGGAGCAGCTTGGGGGGGCAGGGAGCTGACAAACAGCCCCCTTTTTCTCCCAGCATGCAGATCTCCAGCAGGTGTTTCCTCTTATCTGAAAGTAGCTGGAGGCCAGTGGAAAGCACAACTCACAGCTGAGGAGAAGTGGGCTCCAGATGTAGTGTGTACTGAGTTCACCTGCAGGACACAGCAAACAACAAGACAGACGATGGCAGAAAGTGAATCTGGGCTGCAGTAGGGGGAGACAAACCAAATAATCAAGACAGTTGGTCTCACTCACTTTCTTCCTGTTCTTAAGCCTTTGGATAGCTCAGATCCTGGTAAAATAATCTTCAAAGGGCTGTCATCTGGAAGAGGAATATTAACATTTATCTTGCAGGTTTGCTGCAAAATTATATGGGAGGGAAGTAAATTGGCAGAAGGTAGATGAAATAAAATTAGCCAGGAGTTCTTAAAACTGAATGATGATTGGGTGGGGCAGAGCACTCATAAGCCTTTTATATACGTATACTGTATGGCTCTGTACATTTACTATTGTATATGCTTAAATTTTTCCATAATATATTTTTCAAAATAAGAAAATTTAACCCTGAAGTTTTTTTTTTTAATAGGAAACTGACTTTTGGGGGACTGGGGAGATGGCTCAGTAGAATAAGTGCTTCCCTGGCAAGCGTAAGGGCCTGAGTTCAATCCCCAGTTCCACCAAAAAAAGAGAAAGAAATTGACTTTTGGGGAATAATCTCTGCCTCCTGTAGTCTCCCCTGAGAATTCTATAAGACTTTAGATTTAGCTCTTCAGAGGCAATTGAAAACTTGGAGGGATCGAATGTATTTAACATCCAAAGCTCTGAAATGCTGCAGTCCTCATTTCCTGAGTTCATTTTCCTGCCCTGTCCTGAAGAAGACATGAAGTCGATAAACTAATTAAAAGCATTTGAAAGTTACCTCTGTTCTTACTCAGGCTTCAACATTTTATTTGATCTGCTTCAATGAATGCAGAGAAAATGAAACTGTTAGAACATTAAGACCCCAAGAAGTTACATTAAGTGTTCTTGTGATTCCTCTAATTAGGTCATGACAACAGTCGGTGCAGAAGAGCAGCTGACACTGACTTGCTGTCTCTCCTGTGGCAATTCAACACACACACACACACACACACACACACACACACACACACCCTGGGTGCTTCCAGAACATTTAGAGCCCCTATTGAGATCATGTCTGCCCAGCTGTTTACCCCTGGGTTCTACTGTCTCCTTCTTTGCCTTGAGCTCTGTTGGACCTGGGATGCTTTCCCATCTCTGAGAAGGTCAAGAGCACGTATGAACAGGACAACAAGTTCTTCCATAGAGATAGCTTGCCTAGGGGTCTTAGGAACCCATAGATTGGATGATCTTGGTCCCAAAGATAGCTTGACATGTGTAAAAGCACTTTTATTAGCCCTGTTTTCTACTTTCATAGAACAAAGTATTTTCTTTCACTGGGAGAATCTGTTGTTGCCTATAGAAAACTGTGACCACTGGAAATGGAATGTTTCTTCAAATTTCTGGGCAATTTTTCTTAAGGGGGGTCTTCAGGGGATGGAGCATGCAAGAGAAGTGATGTAATCCACTGCCTCTGCTTAGGTGTGCTTGTTTTTCCTCTGTCTCTTTAGAGAGATTCACACTCTTACAAAACGTGAGCACATCATATAAGCTTTCTTAGGATGCCATGAGAAGGAATTAAGTGTTTGACACCTGCTTAAAATCATGTCAATAAGGTGCCACTTTCCGAATAAACTTGGAAGTGTTGTACCTCCTAACTTCTCCCCTGTCTGGAAGGGTGTAAATGTCCCCATTGAGAGTACTGGGTTTCCGTTCTCCAGACAAACCATTTCCCCCAAACCAATCTGTCGTCTCTTCCTTAAGGACAGAGTCATGGTGCCCTTCACTTCCCTTTCTCAACAAAATTTAGCAAGAAAATGGACCTCTAGACTGAAGTCACCCCTTTCTTCTTTCCTGGAAGACATTGAGTAGATTCCATATTTAAAATTCTACTTTCATGCAGTCTTTTCTACAGGGAGGATTTGGAGTTTTGTTGTTTTAGAAACTAGCCTCTCTCCAAGCTATTTCTTGAAAAATTTCCTCAGAAACCAGGCTAGGATATTCTCTGTTGGCACTGGTGCAAAAGCTAAAAATCTAAGCAGGGAGAACAGGAATCCCATTCAGCATCATGATGCAGGGGACCTCACACATATCTGGCTTTGAAGGGGCCAACCAGATGTGTGAGTGCTTGCGGCTGGGGCCGATGCTTTGCAGGGAGTCAGAAGAATTGTTTGCTGCTCTACGCTCTGTCTAGCGACCAGCATCTGATGGGCTGGGACACCTGGAATAAGTTGGCTTGTGTGTTAGGTTGTTGACTTGAATTCCTTTCTGTTTCCAAACTGATTCAAATAACATAGACTTTCAGGATGTGCAAATGAACTAGATGGAAAACTTCATGTGACTATTCAGGATGCCCCCACAGCACCCCACCTTTCTTCAAACCCCTGGATTGAGATGACCCACTGCCTTAGTTACTCTTCTTTCGTTGCTGGGACAAATACCCAACACCCAAAATGAAGGAAGGAAAGGCTTAGCTCACAGTTACTGGTTTCAGTCCATATTCAGCTGGCTCCAAGGCAGAGGGGCACAGTGCAGAGAGCAGCACTTCATGGCGATGGAACAGCAAAAAGCAATGGTTACAGAAAGTCTATCTCTCTGTCTCTTGTATTACATTCAGGCTTTCTGTCCCAGGCTAGGGGAAGTACTCAAGCCCATAATCCCAGCAGTACTAAACCCATAATCCCAGCCTTGGATCACACATAATCCCAGTGGATCATGAGTTAATCACAAACTCCAGAAGTCCCCACCCCATGACTGCATGAGGACTTGGGGGGACAACTAGACAAAAACCACAACACCCACCTTCCAGTTCAGGCAGGATTGGCTCCAGCTTTGGAAAGTAGGGTTCAGACAAGCTCAGGGCAACCCATGAACAAATTTCTCCAGGCCTACACCTGGTCTTTTGTGCCTGATCTTTTCTCCCTGAGTGGAGAAAGGCAACCGAGAGAGAAGGAAGCCCTCCCTTTCTTTGCAGGGCCATCAGCTCCTCTTCTTGGTGGAAGCATTGTGCTCTCTCAGAGATGTGTGTGTCGCTAGGTGCTCAGTCAGCCATGCAACAGCTACAGTAATGCTATTCTATGGAAACTCTGAGAGAAACTCATTTAGCAGGCATATATCACTTGGGACTTATTTAGCCAACTCCACATAATCCAGATTGTCACTGAGCAGTGATTCTTAACGTATACCTTCCATATGGTAAAGCTGTCCCAATATGGGTATATATCCAAAAGTAGTGAAATCATACCAAGGAAAGCCTTTATGTGTACACATGCATGTGCACGCATGCATGCACACACACACACACACACACACACACACACACACACAGCAGAGTATTGTTCAGCCATGAAAAATACTAAAATTCATAATTTCCAACAGAATGGATGGGGGCTGGGGAGATGGCTCAGTGGAATAAGCGCTTCCCTGGCAAGTGCAAGGGCCTGAGTTCAATCCCCGGTTCTGCAAAAAAAAAAACAAAACAAAAAACAAAAAAATAATAACAGAATGGATGGACTGGAGGGCATTGTGTTAGGTGAAATAAGCCAGACACAGAAAGACAGAGCCTACATATTCTTGCTTATATATAGAAGATTAAAGAACAAGCTGATGTGGCTATAGATTAGTGATTGCTAGACACTGTGGAGGGTGAGAAGGGAAGGGGGATAGAGAGAAGCTGGTTAACAGGTACCAATACGCAGAAAAAATGAGTTCTAGAGTTCTGCCGCACTGCAGTGTGGCAGTAGTTCACAGTAACCTACTATGTATTGATGAAGGTCTAGAAGAAAGGAATTGAAGTCTCCAGACATAAGCAAATGATAAGTGGGAAATGCTGATTGCCCTGATTTGATTAGTATGTGCTGCTCAATGCATGGGTTAAAGCATCATATTGTGCCTCATTACTGGGCACAATTAATACACTATTCAAAAATAAAAATTTAAACATAAATAACAAGATACAAACCAAACAGTATATATTCTCTGACCAAACAGTATCAGCAACACCTGAAATTTCTGAAATTATCAGAAAGGTAAATTATCAGTTCCCTCCTCTGTGTCCTGCAACCTATTTAATCAGAAACTCCGGAGGTGGAGCACCCTAACCTGCATCTATTCACATTACTATCTGACTCTTGCATTTATTTGATGAACATGTTTTATATATTTTTCTGAGCAGAAAATTCATGGATACAATTTCCAACCCATTTGCTCTTGTGATTACTTTGCACTTGAAAATATTAACAATGACATTATGACATGTGTTATATGAATATAAAACCAAAGCTTTTAGAAGCCCACAGTCTAACTTATCACCAATGCCCTTGTAACTGTCTTCAAGCTTGGTTAACAAAAGAGAGTCTGCAGTCCTCCGTAGAGCAGGAAATGCTTGCAAAACAGTGATATTCAAATCAGAGTTCATTGATAATTTTCAATATACACAAACTGAGTTCATAACTAGCATCTAAGCTGCAAACAGTGGTTCATTCTACCCTTCGAGAGTGCTGCAGCCGACCTTTCCTTTGCCACATGGGGCAAGATGACAACTAACATGAGAGTAATTTTCCAAAGACTTTGGCTTCAGAAGTCTACTTAGCATCTTGAAAGTTCAGAGCCCTCTGTTGACTATTGGCTTGGTTTGGCTAGAGCCTACAATATGGATTTAATCCCTGTGGGCACCAGTTAGCTTATTTGGAACCAAACACAAGACTGACTCCCCAGCCAGTCTCTGGCCTGCCTGCTGTTGGATCAAAGTCTTGGGCCAAGGATGGGTACGTGACTAATATTTCACATGTCCTGAGATGATCAGTCCCAGGCCTCCCTTTTGTTTCTGGAAAAATGAAATCAGATCTGTAGAGCAAAACATGAATAACACATGTGCTGATGCTTATAGCCACTCTGGGAAGTCACCCTGATAAATTGTAAAAGTCTGCCTTTCTTCTAGGGTTTTTGATGATGGCCGCTGCATTTTGAACTGTCCCTCATGGAAATTTGAATTTAAGAACCAATGCCACCCATGCCACCACACCTGCCATGGATGCCAAGGAAGTGGGCCTGCCAACTGTACCTCCTGCAGGGCAGGTGAGCTGCTGCTTGCTCTGCTCTCCTCTCCAGGCTATTCTGCTCCACGCCATGTTTGGATTGACTCAGGGGCTTCTTCTATGGGGCTGAAGGTTACAACTGATCAACCGCTCATTAGCAAGGATGACAAGCTGCAATTTTTTCTCTATTGTCAGGATGCAAAAAAATCTACTTCCCATCATGCTGGATGCTGCCTTACTACCCCTGGGGAGATGACAGAGAGGTTACAAGGTGCCTTCTCAGAGAAGGAGAAAGAAGGGGCATTTAAACATGGTGTTAGGCAGGGGCATACTTCAGAACTAAGATTTGTTGAGGTAAAAGTGAAGTGCTTAGGAAACTAAGAAAGACACATTTGTTCTTTCAAAGAGATAAAGTGTGAAGGGCCATGTCAGGAACTTCTCAGAGCTGGCCAGTGCTCTATTTAAAAAGTGCCAGAGCAAGGTAATCATTTCAGCCCACAGCAAATGTGACCTTTTGAGTCCCAATTTGAATTCTCAAAATGTTCTGCCACCACTGGGTTATAACCCACAGTCTCCAGAGACTTCCACAGTTGGACCCTGGACTCCTCCCTCATCTCATCTCAATGTCTATCCTCTATTTGGGTCTCCAGTAAGCCAGAGCTATATTTTATCTGACTTAGATAATACATTGTCAATTTCAAAGTTAGAAAATTTCAAATAAAATCTTGGGATCTTTGTTTCTGTTGAATCCTGGGAAAGTCTGGCAGCTGTGGGCCTGTGTTTCCCAGAGTGGCAGGAGGTGTGAAGTGGCTGCCGCCCACCTGTCCCCAACTGCTACCCACCTCTCCCCAGTCCCCACCATGCCTAGTTGTCTTGCTGGTCCTGAGGCTGCCAGTTACTATTACCACTGCACACCAATTCTCTAAGTGATGAGAATTATTTCTTTTTGTTTTTAACGTAGATGAAGGGGCTCTTGGAGGTCAGCACCTCAGGATGGGCAAAGGCAAAGACACTCCAAGCCAGTCACTATCTACTGGAGTTGTACAATAATAGGAGGGACTGGGGAAGATTCAAGGCTGGAGGAAGATTCAGAGGCCTTGCTCAGCAGCAGCAGATAATCCTGGGCTGGACTCAAGAGACAGAAATGACCCCATGCTAGGAAGGGTCTTGCCCTGGAGTAGTTCTTAATCTTAGTGGTTGTAGTGTAGTCTTGTGGGTGGAAGAGGATGGCTCATCCAAAAGAGTTAACGGGAAATCTCAGGAAGATGATGCTGATCATCCTAAGCCTATACCTCGTAGGGAAGTGTGAACAAAAAGTATGTCCCTCTTGGTTTTTGTAACTGCAGCAATTGAAACAGCACACAAGCTATGATGGCCATCACAGCAACAAAGATTCTCTGGGTCTTGGTGGAAGTCCTGTCCTGTCACCAGATTGTGAGCCTCCTGCTTGGTCTTCTTTAGTTGCCCCCAAGTCATGGGGTTGGAGCCTGGGTCAATCAGAGTACTTGTGATGTCAGGCTTTTCTCCAGGGTCATCCTCGAGAGTACTGGCACTGGAGGGCCAGGCAGGAACAGGCTGCACCATGGGGCTGGGATGTTCCCCTCCATGGTCACATTCTGGGAGGGCAGTCATAACAGGGTTCCATTGTCTGTTGACACAAGCATACCTTGACCTAGGCTATTAACTGTGACAGACCTACCCAGTAGCCTGTCTGTGTGTTTTTCCACAAGTGGCAATTTAGTGTCAGGCTCAGACTGCCAATGCAATTCATGGCAGTTATTTTCTGTTAGTGTATTTAAAAAATTGAAGGTGAAGATTGCATGGTCCAATTGAGCCTGTGGAGGAAACTGTATTCCCTTTTTGTTTATTTCATTGATTTTTGAGTATTAAATGGGCCCTTTTGTACTATAGCTTGACCTTGTGGTTTATATGGAATGTTTAATAGGCCAGAGCTGAAAAAGGAAGCTAATGCTTTGCTAGTATAAGAAAGACCCTTATCTATTTTTATAGCTTTTGATACTCCCATAGTGGCCAAAGCAGACATACAAGATTGTTAAACAGTCCTATTTTTTTTTTCTCCCAAATGACAAGTAGTGTGCATGAAATGGGAATAGGCACCAATAGAAACATGAACATATTGCAACTGCTCACAGGAGGGGACATGAGTAACATCCATTTGTCAAATTTCATTTAATCTGAGCCCCCTGGGATTGCTACCTTGAGGGGGAACTGAGTGAGGAACTTTTAGATAGGTAAAGCGAGAGAGAGGTCTTTCTAGCCTGTGAATGTGACAATTGAAATTCTTTTGTTGAAGCTTTACTATTTTGATGTTACCCATGGGATTGTCTAGCCAGATCAAAAGAGGAAACAAAAGCTATCAATGAATCAGCCTGTTGATTACCCTAAGCCAAGGGTCCAGGAAAATTAGAATGAGATCTGAAGTGTCCAGTGAAGAAGGAGGTGGTACAGCCAAATCAGACCAGAACCGAAGTTCCCTATAAAGTCAACATTGAACCTACCTCTTGATTTCAATTCTGTTCTCTTCCAATTCAGTTTGCAACTAGAATCATGGAAATAATATTTTTGTGACCAAGGTATCACTGTATATCTATGTGACATTTTATCTCTGGAAGTGTCTCATTCTGTTTCTTTGCTCATTTATAAAATGGTGACGATGATTTCCTCTTTGAGACTTACACAAAGTAAGTGAAACAAAATAATAAAGCATTCAGAACAGGGTGAGGCACATACTAAGTATCAGATGATATTAACAATGCTGATTTTATTTCTATTATTATAACTATTTTTGTTTGTATCTGCTTATTCCTCGGGGAAATTGAGCTCAAAGACTACTTGAGACATGTCCACTCACCATCTGGTTGACTTCTTTCAGTCCCATCTTGGTTTCAGCATTGTATCTGAGGAAGGCACACCTCCCTGGTAAGACAGCTCACCTTCATGAGCACCCTCTTGGGATCCTGACTTTCCATCCACAAGCCTCTCCACCCTGGTCTAGAATGTCCTGTGCTCTGTAAGAGCCACAAATGGTTTCTACTTTGCTTTCTGATATCTGACGGAAAGGGCAGCATCTGGCTTATATAAATGGTGCACAATACATAATTGCATGAATGAATGATTAATTAGAAAAAAATATCAAAACCAGATGTCAGGTTCTCATCCTGGCTTTGTTACTGATGATGAGGCAGGAGATTAGGGTGTGGCCAACCAGCTGGGCCAGTGAGTATGCCAGGCCATGCACAGGGAAGCAACTCCAGTCAGGAAGTGCTGTCTTCAGTTCTTCCCAAGAGAACTTTAGCAGGTTTTAGTAGGACTGTGTAGATCTGACATCAGGTGGTACAAAAGATGGTGACCATGAAGCTCCTGGCTACTGTGCTGTCTTTCACCATAGTCTAACCACTTTGTAGAGTACACTTCTTTTCCTACTTTTAATTGGCCTGCACTCACTCTGAAGAACATGTTTCATTTCCTCTTAAATAAATGTAAAGCCTCTCTGCTTTTTGCGCTAATTCTGTCCAAATTTTTGTTCTAAAAAAGATCCTAGAAAGAATCTCTACAAAGAGGCACCAGCTCCCTGTTAATAATTAGACAGAAGATACCGCATCTCTTTAAACTTCTTCTGTTTAAAGAAGAGTTGGGAAGGAGGGAGAGAGGAAAAGAGAGAGGGAAAGAGGGAGGGAGAGAAAAGAAGGAAGCAAGAAAGGGGAGAGAGAGAGAGAGAGAGAGAGAGAGAAGGAGGGAGGGAGAGGAAGAAAGAAGATAAATCTGGAACTAAAAATCACTTCCATATGTAGCACAAAATTAGAAGTTGAGATGTTAAGCAAATATCTAAGCATTCTGCAGTTACTCGGACCAATATATATACACATAAAATATGTTGACATTTCTTCTGTATTTTCTGTTTGAAATGCTAGGTTTAATCCATCTTCTGAAACATTTATTGCATCCCTCCCCTACCCAATTTAGTATGCACTGTGTGCTGTGGAAAAATACAATAAATGGCAAAATAATACTCATCTTCAAGGCGTTTACAACCTAATAAGGATGTCTGTCTCATATATTACCAAACAAGAAAATACTAAAGACTGTATGACTGGTAGAAACCCTACCACAGGTCAGAGAAGGAACCTCCCTCCCAGATCTAGTGAGTAGAGAAGAGCTGCCTAGCAAGCCCTCATTCTGCAGACCCTCTGCCTACTAAAAGGTTGATATCCCTGGGTCAAGAAGAATTGTCATGACTGGAGTGTGGTGGCACACACCCATAATCCCAGCACTCTGGGAGACTGAGACAGGAGGATTCCAATTTAAACCCAGTGTGGGAAACTTCATTTCTTAGCAAGACTCTAACTCAAAATAAAAAAAAAAGAGCTGGGGTTTCACTCAGTGGGGCAGCCCTGTGTTCAATTCCCAGTACGGGGGGGGGGGAGAGAGAGATGAGAATTTACCTCAGAGCAAAGGCAATTCCCAGTACTATAAGAGGAGGAGGAGTGGAAGAAGTGGAAAAGAACAAGTACAAGTAAAGTCAAGATCTTGATATAATATCAAGAATGGATGGCTTAGAGAAGACAATCTGTATCTATAAATAGAAGCTTCAATAAAAGCAGGCAAATCCTCTGGCAGAAGTCCCCTCTGCCCAGATAAACCTCTCCCCCCAGTGTGTGGTGTTATGGTTTATGTTTGATGCCCCCTCCCCAAGCCTCATGTGCTAGAAGGTGAAGCTTTTGAAAGCCCATTGGATTATGGGGGCGACACAGCTGACTCGCTGTCAGAGGACAGGGCTTGTTGGAGAGGAGGTCCACAGGGAGGAGATGTTGTACTGTGCACCTCCCCTCCGCATTCCCCTTAGCTCCATCCCCCAAACTCTGCCAATGAGGTAAGCAGTCTCTCCTCCACCATGCTCCTCTGCCCCCCATGGACTAAAGCATGAACAGAAATAAACCTTTCTTCAAGGTGCGGGTTCAGGTATTGCTTCTCAGAAATGAGGAAAGTATCTAACACATGGCAAGATCTCATCTGTTATTGAGTTGGAGATTCATTAAGGTCTGGGTATGAATCCTTATAGAAATGCAGCTCTCCAGTTATGTTTGGAGAAAAATCTGCTCTGAAGTCTCTTCTGGATTTGTTCTCTAGACCCAAAGCTAAATTTGCCCAATCACAAAACAGCTACAGTCACCAAAATATTGACACGAGCTTGATAAAGTTCATTTCAGAGACCCTCAGCCTTCCTTCCATCCTTTCTCTCACGCCTATAATCCTCAACTATCCTTCCTCCTATAGACTTAATGACTCCACACTCTCCACCTTCTAATAGTATCAGCTGCTAAGAAATGCTCTAGTAGTAGTCAGTGACTCTGGGTTTCCAGACATCAACCTGAACCTTTTCCACTTCCTTGAGTCTTAACTGTTTTTACGTCATGCCGTGAAAGTGGTACCTGCCCAAAACTGTCAGCCAGCTTCTTTTACACATTACTGTACTAACCTGAATTTGGAGATGCTTGGCAAGAGGCCAAAAATTACGCACAGCATTTAAATCCCTGAGCTTCCTGAATTATCGTCTATAACTAAATGGGCTGGCAAACAACTGAGGCAACCAGAAATACGACTAAACCTTGACACACCCCTGCAGCAAACTTGTGGGAAAAGCTAACCATGGACAAGAAATCTAAATAATCTCTTTTTTGTGACTGTGTGTTTTAAGGACTAAAGCCCTTCAACTGTCTGCCCTTTATTTTATTATTTATTTATTTTTTTTTTTTTTTTTTTATTTTTTTATTTTTTGGTGGAACCGGGGTTTGAACTCAGACCCTTGCGCTTGCCAGGGAAGCGCTTATTCTGGTGAGCCATCTCCCCAGCCCCCTGTCTGTCCTTTAAATGCAGGTGATAACACCCAAAATGGTCCAAGTAGTGAATCCAAGTCCAAACAGTAAAAATGGGATCAAGTAGCAATTCTTCTCATCTTGTACCCATCATTGTTAATTGTTTAGGATTATTGATCCAATTGGATATATTTTTTTTCCAGGAAACTCAATTTTTTCAAACAAGGAGGCCATAATCATTCATTAGACACAAATACTAGAAGTCCGAGGCTACAATTTCATTGCCAAATAAGAAATGTGGTACTTTATTCTACATTATGAAAAGGGAAAAAACTAGTTTTTGTTGTGCCAATCTTTACCCTTGTATCCTTTACCAGGTACTGACCAGAGGGACAGTGTCCTGAGCTTTAGGCCCCAGAGGACACACTCAGGAGCAGAGAGGCCCTGAGGCCACATTACTGAATGACTCACTGCATGTTTTTTACCTTTCAAGACCCAGTCCGTTTTTTCCCTTTCAACTTCACCACATGCTTGACAAAGCCTAAATTTGTAGTACTTAGCATTGTAGTAACCTGTGCCTAAACAAAAAGTCAGAACCTGCCCCCTTGTCTCAAATCCTGCCCCCTTGACCCACAGCCACAGTCACTGGAGAATGCAAGCTGTCAATGCGCTTATGGTGAGTGGCTCAGGAGCAATCTCACCTCTGGGCTGAGATCCTGACCACAGAAGGAGCCAACATTGACAAGTCTTGGGGAAAAATGCTTGCAGAGAGACAAAAAAAAGCAATGAAAAAAAAAAAAAAACCCTCACAACTAATCAAAAAACAATCTGACTGGCTTGATTTAAGCTGTAGATGTCTCTCTAGATGCAGTTTTGTGTTGCACTGGAAGTGCACCTGTCAGAGAACGGTTTGGTGACTGTCCTCGGCCCCCGCAGACTCCTGTGATCAGCTTGGTCATTCGCTCACCATTCCACAGCGAGTGCAGGGTGCAGAACGGTCCTTCTGGAGACTGTACCTCCCGTCCGCTGCTGGAACCCATCAATGGTTTCCTCGTCTTCCATCTCCAGCTGTGCTAGAGTGTCTGTTTCATTAATGGGCTCCTCATCAAACCTGAACCTAATAGGTCTCATTGACAAGCTCTGCCTCTCGCAGTAGGCCTGCATCAGCTTGCTCAGCGGGGTATGCCTCTCGATCTTCAACTGCACCACCAAGCCGTCCTGCCCCGCCACCTTTAGGTTGATGTGGTCATTCTCAGCCTTCACGCCTTCCTTGGGCTTCTCCTCGGATATGGTTGCTCGGAGGTGGCGGCAGAGGCTGGCAAAGGGCAGTGGAAATGCAGCGCAGAGCGGGCAAGTCACACTCTGGTCCCCACCACTCCTCTGCCACAACTCGATCCAATTGGATATATAAGGGAAAGTGAACAGTGCCAAATGCAAAATTCACTTTCTTGCTCATTCATTCCATCATTTGACAAATATGTACCTAGGAAGCTTCCTGGATGCCGGGCTGTCCCCAGGTTGATGCCCTGCAAAGGTGTGGGTGACACAGAGCAACCCCTGAATAGAGAAATAGGCCTCCTGGCTGCTGTCCCATGGATCCTCCCACTTATATCAGAGAAGTAGTGGTGCTCTGAAAAACAAGAACAACTGTGGAGGAGTCAGAGTGGAAATGGGGTGTTGCGAGGAGTCCATGAAGGGGCTGCAAAATTGTTGCTCCCATGGTCTGAGATCTCAGGTTTCACCAAATCAGAGTCCTGCGCTGAGTAGTCCTGGTCTGCGGCTGTGTCACCACCAAATGCTCCCTGCTAACACACAGCCCTCCCATTCCCTGGTAGGACAGTACTCTTCTACATCCATCCTCAAAACTGCAGAGGCCTTTTCCTCCACCTCGCTGGTATCTCCTCTTGCTTTCTTGGTCAGGCAGGAACTAAAAGACTTTTGGTATGAACTTACAATGAGAAAAGTGGTAACTTGGGAGCCCATCATCCAATAATACATTTCTGCGATTGTATTTGATAGTTGGAGATGGGAGGAAGAGAGGAAGGGGCAGTAGAAGGGATCAAGATGCAATATTGCACATGCACTAATGCCCTACCATGGATATGTTTAGTCGGTATCCAAACATATCATTGAAATACTGGAGAAAATAAAATAGAATTGTATTTGAATAAATAAGAAATATTAGGGCAAATATTTGAAAATACTATGCTTATAGGCAAAAAAAAAAAAAAAGAAAGAAAGAAACCAGCAGTTTAGGTGGGTCGGTCTAGCATTATACTGATCTTTCAGTATTCTTTTTTTCCCCATGATTTTATTAAGAAATAAATAGCAATGAGGCAATTTTAAATCAAATTGATAGGACAGTTCCAGTAATTAACACATTGCATACTCTCTTCCTAGTAGTTATTTGCTGTACAAGATGCAGACATGATATCCTATTTATAAACACTATTAGAACAAATCTCTCTATTCATTAAGAAAATGTAGCTATATATCTATCCTAACCATTTTGAATACACAGATACAAAATGGTCATTCATCTATATCCCCTTTTTTTGTTTAGTTCCATCATTTAAATATTATAGGTTTGTGAACTCAGCAAAATATTCCCAAATAGTCCAGTAGTCCATAATAGTATTGGGTCTTCCACTTGACTGGCAATGTCAGAAGTTGTTGACCTGAGTCTCCTACAGCTCAACATAACCACATGGATTTACTTCTTATACTTCTTTTTTTATACTTTCTGCTGGATGGTTAAGACCAAGATAAAACAAGACCTATGCAACAAAAATTGTAGTTTTTGTATCTGATAAGGTCAGTCAAATTCTTTCAGTATTCTTGAAGGTCAGTGTTTTAGGGTCTCCAAGTTGTGGATCACATGGTGCATTAACAGGAGACCCTAGTTATTCTGGGTCCCTCAGACTACCTGCTCTTCAGAGGCAGGGATATATGAGAAATCCTACTCAGAGTAGGCAGAATCCCTGAGTATGCTCAGCATAAAAACTGCAGAAAGCTGGAAGTAGAAAACCTCTAAGCACATCTGCAGTGTTCATCTTACTGTTGATTTATATATTCCTGCCTGATTAGAATCTTTTATAACCAATTGTGATCCTTTGGAGTTGATTCAGTTTTCTCATTCTCTCCAAGAACAAGTTCCCAGAGTCTGTCTGCTGGGAGCATCTCCGATTCTTTCCTTCCAGAATCCAGTCTTGACCAAAGTCCAGAGCCCCTCGGGAATGCATGGATAAGCGGCACAAAGGGGCACTTGGCCTGGTTCCCCAGTGAAGCCTCATTGTCAGGCATGGTAGCTATGCATAAATTCACACTGTAGTCAGTTAACACAAGTATATGCTTTTGGTAACAATTCCATTTTATTTTAAGAGACTGCACTTTTATGAAGTGTGTCTATCATTGAGCATGTGTTTATTCTTATGGGATCTCTGTAACCCCCAAATCTGAGAAGTTCCACAGATACCAAAAGGAACCCTAGGGAAAGTTAAGCATATTTTGAATTGTGGTTAGTGGTTTGTGGTTTTGCAATGACATCCTAGATAGGAGTTGCTGTTCACTCGAATATATAAAATATTGAAAGATGATTCCCTGGAAGGAAAACTTTTCAGCAACAAGGATATAGATATTGCACTTTTCATTAAATCCATTCTTATGCTCCTGGTCCCTTAGGAACAAAAGCACTCGGTCGTTTCTTTTTTTAATAAAATGTCTCACACTATATTAACTTCATGGCTGATTTTGTACATTTTTTATCTTTCTGTTGCCCCCCTAACTGGACAGACAAGCATGGCAGAGAGCGCTTCCTGTACCAGGGGGAGTGTCGGGAAAGATGTCCAGCGGGCCACACCCCTGCCGAGGGGCACACCTGCCTGCCCTGCCCAGACAACTGTGAGGTTTGCCACAACCCACACCTCTGCACCAGATGTGTGAGTGGCTACGTCCTCGGACCCACCAACCATACCTGCCAGAAGCTCGAGTGTGGGCAAGGTGAGGGAGCTCCAGGCTCACCCAGGCTGGCGGTTGGGGTGAGGGGTTGCCCTTACTCCTGGACATCCTGAAGACTTCACATCCTGGGTTTAGGGGCCTTTGGGTGGCAGGACAACTCCTTCTGTCAAGTGGGTAGCTGTCCGGCCCTCTTCCCCCACAGCACCTTCTGGATCCACTGGACACAATCCTCGATCATAGAAATACAGCTGATCCTGTGGAAGGCGATCTTCCCTGGGAGATGTGTGGGTGGGATACAGTGGGGAGAAAATTAGATTTGAATCCACAAGTCATGTTCAATAGTTTTCTCCTTCCCAATTACTACATAGGAGACCCAGGGCGTAGGCTAATTTTCCCATGCCTTGGTTTCTTCATTTGTCAAAGGGAGTGCATAGAGCCAAGATAGACTCACTGTAAAAAGCCAATGAGAATAAGAGCACTCAGAAACACTAAGGCAGGCTGAATCGTATGTGTTATTGGTTTCACCCAATTTTTATCTTAAATATGGAAGAGGGAATTTTTTTTAAAACATTAGGATTCTAAAAAATAAATAAGTAAAAATAAAAACTTAGGATTCTAAGTCTGTTCTATACTAGAATGTCACAGACCATTCCTCTGCTTTGTATAATAATTATGCCTGATGTTCAAGCAAGCTCTAAGATGTTTTTAGAATTAAAACATTATATTTCTCCTTAATGTTAACAAATATAGTAAGATACTTTATTTTGAATGTGTTTAGTAAGTGGGATGATAAGAGAGATGGAGTCTATTCATTTCTATACATAATTGTATTTTCTCAGAAGCAGAATTGATTTCTTTAACAAATAAAATCCACCAGTATGACTTCTAATCTAGTTACATACCATATTGTCCAACTTTATTCTATTTGCACCCAACCAAGCTTATTCAAATTATTAAATTGATTGAAGTGATGAAGAGGTACATGACATATATGTCCTCAAGAATATATATGATTTGGGCTACATATTGCTCTCTGATTTAAAAATAAGCAACATATAAATATATCCTACCAATTGATGTGTCTCCCCTTAGTGGAAATGAGTTGCTTTTTCACTCCTTTTCTTCTCCCTGTTCAGGTGAATTCCAAGATTTGGACTACAAGGAGTGCTTGCCATGTGAGGTGGGATGTCTGGGGTGCACCTCAGGTATGTCACCTTCCTCTGTTGCTAAAAGACCGGAAACGGGCACGTCTTTTCCTACATCATTCTGTTGTTGTTGCTTCATCAGGGTCTCTTGTCACTGTCACTATCAGTGTCATCACTAATGCGGTTACCTTGGCTCACTCAAAGAGTCACAATGAGGGAACGCCTGCTTCTGAAGTGGTAGAGAAACTTCCAGTCTTCATGAGAGTCAAGGGTGAGATAGAATGGTGGGCCTTTCTCTCCAGCTGTTAGCTCATTGCCAGACAGAGCTCTCAGCAGCCATGTCTGAAGGTGCCTTAGACTCAGCCACCTCTCAGCGTCTCAAAATGACTTTGAAGATGTGCAATGAGTAATACTCAAAGACTCATGTGTGTAAAACAGCTTGTGAGTAGAGCGATGGGGAAATTTTCTTCATTGCTCAGGCTCTAAGATAATCCTTAGAGAACAATGAGCTATGACACAGTCACCGTGACCATGGCATTGGGATCATTTTCATGCAATGAAAAGCATATGTAATTTTCTCATTCAAATCCGTGGCTCCTCCTTTCTTTCCTCATCATAGGCCTGTTTTTGTGGCAAAAGAGGTGATAGGAGCAGAGTGTGGCACATAGCCTCACAGGATAGGGGGTAAAATTGGGAGATACCCCCAAATTCCAAGATCACATCTGACTATAAGTTTTAGCAAGTGTTTTGAAAGGAGCAGTTAATGCTTAAAAGTTCTTCTCTTGTTATTCTCATTTTTTCTTTTGAATTTCTTACAATTTTTTGTTATTGTTTTGTTTTGCTTTTTCTTTAAACCATCTTGCACTTTATATCTGGTGACCTTAAACAACTAATTTGAAGCTAACATCAAGCAACACAACAACCATTGTTGAGTTCCTATTACTTTGTTTAGTGAAATTTAGTATAGTTTCTGATGATGTTTTTTTTCTATCACTATTTTATATTCTTTAAAAAATAAAAAAAAAATTAAAAAAGAAAGTATAGCGTATAAAAGGGGCTGGAGCAAAACTCAGTGGTGGGGCCAGGGAGATAGCTCAGTAGACTAAGCACTTGCCTGGCTAACACAAAGGCCTGAGTTCAATCCTGGTTCAAAAAAAAAAAAAAAAAAAACCCTCAGTGGTAGACCAGACCAGTTGCCTAGCATGAGTGAGGCTCTGGGTTCAATCTCAAAAAATAAGGTGTGGAAGGAAGGAAAGCAGGAAAGAAGGAAGGAAGGAGGAAAGAAGGAAAGAAGGAGGAAGGAAGAAAGGAAGGAGGGAGGGAGGGAACACCTTATAGGATCTTTGGAAGGAACCTCCCTGAAGATTCAGGGAATAATTCAATTTCTCTTTGTGGAACCTCTGTAAAACCCTGGAATGCTTCTAAAATTTTGATGCACATACTAATCAGGCACTGAGAAGTTAAAATGCAGATTCTGATTCATCAATTTAAGGTGACATTGAAATTTCTGTTTTAAAGAGCTATTCAGTGAGGTCAAGACCATTTACAGAATGGCAGGGGATTAAGCTGGACCAGAATGAAGTAGTCTTTATAGTGAGTGTGTGTGTGTGTGTGTGTGTGTGTGTGTGTGTGTGTGTGTGTGTGCTTAACCTGGAGGTCCTGGCCTTTTTAGCTCTGTTCATTGGTGGCAGTGGCACACGTCCATGGCTCAACAAGTTAAACACAAACAAGAGAAGATGGTCTCTGCATCTTTTTAAAAACTCCTTGGAAGAAGTGTGTCACTATTGGGGAATTCATTCAAGACCGGCGGGGGATCTTAGAGCGGAGATGGGAAAGGTGACAAGTTGACCATGGCCTACATGGATCTGCCTTGTGCCCTCCTCCCTTCAGCTGGCCCAGATAAAGATGAGCCCAAGGGCAGGCCACTGGAAAGAGTTCCATCCCAAAGACTGTCTACCTGGGGACTCAAAACTCAAAGGAATCACCTTATAAAACAGAGATAAACTAGAGCTGGCTTCACTTTACAAAGTGCTATTGAAAGGTCAAGCCATTCACATCTTCAAGAAACTGTAGCTGCTTGCAAAGGGTTTGGCGAGGCACTGGGGACTCTAGGAGGACACCACTGGGTCCTGTCCATCACAAGCGCCCTCCCTGAAATGCAGTCTCTACGAAAAGTACTACCATGAACCTACAAATAAAGGGAGATGGGAGAACTTATTCTATTGGAGGGTTCAAAAAAAAGGCATAGGGTTCAGGGAGATAGCTCAGTAGAGTAAGCGCTTCCCTGGCAAACACAAAGTCCTGAGTTCAATTCCCAGTACCACAAAGAAAAAAAAATAGAAATAAGGTCATAAATGAGTTGAACAAAGTCAATCCATGAACATATAAGGCTCTTTATATGGAACCTTTATAAAGTAAGAGAAATTTTCAAATTTTGGATATGAAAACTGGCATCACTTAGCTCTTGCCATGCTGTCAAGTGACCCCCCCACTGCAGGTCACTGCTGACTGGTACGATACTTGATACATACACACCTATCTACACACTAAATGGCTTGGGAATAAGCTCTGGGCCTTATGCACTGGGCTTGCACAAGAACTAGCAGTACACCCGGGACATGACAATGGCACAATTAATGTAGAGTGTGTCTGATTTATGATTTCTTAACTTACAACGTTTTGGCTTTCACCATGGTGTGGAAATGTACAAATATAGTAGGAAGTAAACCCACAGGTTTGAATTTTGATCTCTTCCTGGGTAAGCAATATGTACAACAGGACTCGCTCATGATGCTGGCCAGCAGCAGCAAACCGCAGCTTCCAGGTAGGCGCACGACCCTCAGGGCAGTCAGCCAGCCCTGTACAGTGCTCTGTGCTAACAACATTTTTGGATGCAAATATTCTATAAATTACATGAGTTATTCAACACTTTCATATAAAGTAAGCCATGTCAGATGATTTTTCCCAACTGTACGCCAATGTAAGCATTCTGAGCATGTTTAGAGAGAGCTAACCTATGATGTTTATGGGTTAAGAATATTAAATGTATTTCCAACTTAACAATATCATCAATTTAGGATGGGGTTATGAGGACCTTACTCACTGTAAACAAAGGAGGGGATGTATAAGTGTTAATCAGATTGAATTTGAGAGTTGTCCAAATTCAAAACAGAGACAGAGATCTAGATTTGATGTTTTGCTCTCCAAAATTTTTATGTGGGAGGGGAAGACAATACAAATACAAGTGATTTTTTTCCCATGGAATATTAGAACTATAGGAAAGATTTGAATATGATGTGTTTTATTAAATTTTATTATTGTAATAAGAATATGAACTTTAAAAAGTTATGAATAATTTCTGTAGATTTTATTGAAATTCCTGTTTAGATGAATTTGTTTCACCTTTAGAAACAAAAACATCATCTTAGACAACTTAGGTTTATTCTGTTTTAATAATGTAGGTTTTTCTTTGGACCAGGTCTAACTGATCTATTGAGAATTAGAGAAAAGTAAAATCAGTCATTTTGAGATATTTTATTTATACTCTGTAGTAAATAGTTATGGGGAACACAGGTTATATTTTCAGGTTTTATATTCTTTTTCATATCTTTAATGGACTATAGATGAATATCTAGCTTTTATAACTAACAAGAAAAACCCAAACTCCAAAAATGACAGGCATCTCATTAACTACTGGGCTGAAAAAGATATTGTAGATCTGTAGACCCAAAGAAATATCTCCAGAACAGAGACAGAAAACTCATAGAAAAAATAAAATAAAATAAAAAACTGATTGTTTTGTCTGGAAGAAAATATTGAATTTGATACTCCAGGATGAAGCAAGGGCATTTTTGTTATTACGGAGTTAGGTTTCTTTTCTTTATCAGGGTGTAAACAAATAGCTTTTATATAATATCATTCTGTTCCAAGAGTATCTGATGTCAGATTCTTTGTCTTTCTAATCAGTACCTTCCTTGAATGGAAATCTTAATCTGAATGTCCTGAGTTCTATTTCTTCAATAATTCAGAGGTAAAGTGAATGCAGTAATTTTATCTCCTCTTTTTCAGTCCTGGAATTGGAACTCAGGGATCTCACAGTGGGCTATATCCCTAACCCCTTTTTAATTTTCTCAATTCTGAGACAGGGTCTAACTAAGTTGCTGAATTGCCCAGGTTGGGCTCACACTTGTGATGCTCTTGCCTCCATCTCCCACAGGGCTGGAATTACAGGCATACACCCTCCTGACCTGGAAGGGTCAGGGGACACACACACACACACACACACACACACACACACACACACACCCCACAGGACACAGACAGACAGACGCAGAGAAAGAGAGGCACAGAGCGAGACAGAAACAAAGATGATCTAGACTGGAGGTGTGGCTCAGTGGTAGAGTTCTGTGCAAAGGCTTGGGAATCCCCAGAACTTCAATAAAAAGGAAGAGATTTTCTGGAAGTGAATGTGGTTGTGATTGTGTTCCTCTGGAGAACCCTAATGAGGCTGCTGTGTTGGGTGCTCCAAGTGACAGGAAGGTGAAGGGGCTTGAGTAGAGAAACATGATCCAGGGGTTCTTCCAGAGAGCCAGGTGCAACACGCAGCAGCCTCAGCTAATGTGATACCCACAAACTGAAGGAAGCAATAAGGTTTGTTTATTTGCTTGCTTGTTTATTTTTAATTGTATTGTCTCAGTTCCTCTTCTCTCATTGCTGAAACAAATACCTGACACCCAAAATGAAGGAAGGAAAGGTTTATTTAGTTTACAGTTACTGGAGGTTTCAGTCCATACTCGGCTGGCTCCAAGGCAGACTGGCACAGGGCAGAGGGCAGCAGTTCGTGGTGGCAGCAAACAGCAAGAGGAGCCAAGGGAGGAGTAGCAGCAACAATGGCTGGAGAGGAAGTCATTCTCCCTTAAATTGCATCTAGGCTATCTGCCCCAGGCTGGGGGAAGTACTCACACCCATAATCCCAGCAGTACTGAGACCCATAATCACAGTGGATCATGACTTAATCTCAAACTCTAGAAGTCCCCACCCCATGACTACAATGAGGCTTT